TGTGTGTGTGTGTGTGTGTGTGTGTGTGTGTGTGTGTGTGTGTGTGTAGGCTGATGCCACACTCAACCATGACTTGACCTGTTCCTAATGGACAGTAGATCCCCAGAGAATGAGGGGAGATGGCAGGGGAGAAAGCAGAGTGCTAGGGATACAGTCAGAAGGAGCAGAAAAGACAGTAAAGCCCCTTTTTTAGGTTCCTGTGGACCAGGGGAAGTGCTGAGGGCAGGTGTGAGCAAAACAACAGAAAGGCAGGGCTTCTGACCAAGCAGGACAAGCAGGTGAACTGGAGCCAGTGATAGGTTCACACAAGAGTAAATAGCAAGGTTCTCTCCCACAGCCTTCTGCTCTGAACAAGAGGATCACCACACATGCACACACACACACACACATGCACACGCACACACCACTTCACATAATAACCAAATCGAGTCTCATCTGGATCGCAAACATACATTCTAAGATCTTCTCATCAGGAAATCATAAATAGATCTGACACAGGCCTAAGGCCACAGACCAGAGACCACTATAGTACACAAACTGTCACTCACTAACGCCCACAGCCATAAAATGAAAAAGAAGGAAGGATGTGGGCAACAGACATTTTGAAATGGAAGAAAACTGATGAAATTGTTCTTGAAGTGATGAAAAGAATGGGAAGTGAGATCCTAAAAACACTGGAAGACGTCTAATACTCTTAACCCAGAGAGATGAGCAGTGTTTGAGGAGATGGATATTATTGTCAAGATGTAAATGTAAAACAATGTACATGTGTGTTGAAATACCAACATCTTACTCCACAAATATAAGTAATTTTTCTTTGTCAAAACATACATTGTGTGTGTGTGAGTGTGTGTGTGTGTGTGTGTGTGTGTGTTATGTATGTATACGGAAAAACAGTATGGAAGGGTATGAGGGCAGAGGGATGACAAAGGCATCCAAGATCACAAACTGTGCCCAGATAGCATCTTTAATCTTTAGCAGCCACACTATTAACAAGAGGACTAAAGAAAGGGGAGTATGCTGTGGTGGAGGGAAGTTGGCAGAATGCTTGTGTAGCTCACATTTGGTTTGACTCTCAGCATGTGGTAAACCTAGTGGCATGGTGACAAATACCCATAATCCCAGCACTCAGGAAGCCCACAAATCCAAAGTCATCCTCAGATACCCAGCAAGTTTTAGACTAGGTTGGATTACATAGAACAAAGTCTTTTAAAAGGCAGAGTGAGAAGGAGGTTTTTTACTTTAAATGAGAGCTGGTTTCACCAAGGTTTAAAATTTAAATAATCAAACAATATCAGAACAGTTTGAAAAGCCAAGAAGTTGATCTGCAAGTATTTCAGGTTATACAGATTATGTCCTAAGGCCCCCAAGGTTGTTATAATGAGGGACATGTCGGGGGAGGGCGAGTCCTGCCTGCCCTTTGCTCCTTGGGAGAACATCTGGTGCGTTCCTGGGAAAGAGTCACATCTCAGATGATTCTGAAATTTCTGACCTACACAACCACTCGAACCCTCTCCAGCTGGATGTGCAGTTCCATAGTGTCACGCACCACAGACAAGAGGAAAAAATACAGATACAGATGCAGAACCCAAACAGACAAGAGCAATGGAGACAGCCATAAGGTAGCTCCCAATGGCATCAGCAGAAGACACAGGTAACAGAAGGTCATGTTCACCAGGCATCCACATGTCTGGGATCGCTGGGTCATACAATCCATACAGTTCAGCATCACAGCCTAGACTGCTAGCCCTTCTCAGCAAATGTCCATGTTCAAAACTGTTACAGAAACTTAGCCTAAATGCCTTGCTGACAGAAACACTCTCACAGTCTCCCTTTCCCTCGCCCTCTCCCTCTCCATCTCTCTCTCTCCCTCTCCCTCTCCATAAGGAGCTAAAGAGGAATTTGATCTCCTTTTAGCACAAATATAGGCAGTTACATGCAGGATGGTACCTCAGTTTAACTCCATGCACATTAGAGACCTTGTGTTCCTTCACAGCCTGGTCCACAAACCCTTCACCTTACATCAAACTTAACCAATCATCAAAGAAGCAGATCAGCATCCAGGATTCCTCTCACATCGACCCTCTCATTAGCTCACGGCCCAGTGCATACCACTAGCTCATCCTTCTGGAAGTGTGCAGCAGCCTTCTGACCATGAACCACCAATACAGCGTTCAGAACATTTCAGCAGAACTTTAAAAATAAAATTACTGCAAGCAAACTTGAGCTCCCATAAATGAACTAGTTTTTCCATTAGTTAAAAAAGCAGGCTTCATAGTACTCAGCCTGCAGCTGACACAGCTATAAGACCCCCAAAATTAATGAGGGAATGACCCATAGCCAACTCAAGTTCTTGGTTTCAGCTAAGTCCACTGAGATGGGCAGACAATGCAGTATCAGCCATGCTCCTCCTCCTGACACACACTGGGGCATCTGCCTCCACTAATGTCTGTTGGCCTGCCCTGAGGGCCTGCTTGTATCATCCCACTGCCCCCATGCCCGACAACAGGCAAAAACTCTCCAGAGCGTCCTCGGTCACAGATTTTGAGTTGAAGGTGGTGTCCCCTGTCTTGAACCTTCAAGCATCTGTTTCTAATGGCTATAGACAGACAGAGTATATTTGCCAGCCCATGGACCAATGTTCTAACATGTGGGTAAACTAGAAGCAGGGAAAATAAGCATTATCAGTTATTAGAGACAGAGCATGACCCCCATATTTGTTGTCAGAGACTTAACCAACTGTATACTAGAATGTAACTGTATTTGAGGACACTGTCTTCCCATAAATAAATCAGGATGAGGCCATCTGTGTGGCCTCATCTAGCACAGCAAGGACAAGTGGCTGGGACCTGACGTAGGCAGAGAACAAGCCACATGAAGACAGAAGAAGAGGCAATCACCTACAGTCCTCAGAGAAATAAAAGTGCTGACACTGGATCTTACACTTCACCTTCCAGGATCCCAAGGACAGAGACGCTCCTGCAAGTACTGTCTCTCTATGGTACATTGCTGCAGCAGAGCTTGTACACTCAAACTTTGGTAGACCAGAAGACTAGAATAGCTTTACAAAAGCTCTGAGCTTGCTTTCAGAGAATTTTAGACAAACTACAATGTGGGATCAGGGAAAGAACCACAGGCTAGCTAGCTCACAGGGGTCCTGATAAGTTCCTTTTCAACATCACAAATGTCAGTACTCAAGGACAATCCATGTTAGCACATGCTAGACTCTTCCAGAATGGCAGTTAAAGCCTTACCAGAAAGTGGACTGCTGCAAGTCTGAGAGTCAAGTTCTCATCCCAAGGGTGAGTGTGAATTTGTAGGTTTTTATGTTTCCACATCTCAATGAGCAGAATTCAAGGCTCAGGGTCTGAGAGTTTACTGCAATTGTTCTGCGTCTGTACAAATGACCATAGCAAGTGATGAAAGCTTCGAATCACAAAACACAAAATTTCTCTAGACACACATTGAAGATTTAGAAACTGGGCTGGGAGAGGCCAATTGCCAAGTGGAAGAGGTGACAAACAGGACTCTGCAGTTGCAACATCAACCCACAGGCCTACACACACCCCAGTGTAATTTCAAGGGGATCTACTGGAAATGTGACTGACTATGCAGAGTTTCAGCAAGAAGGTTTTAAGTTAAATTTCACACATGCAAAATCAGTGTTTAAGCTATTGTTCAAGGTACCAGTGGCATGTAGAAACTTCCTGAGCCTGTGGGATGCCTGACCATTCCTGGAGATGCCTC